CCATTGTGAGCGACGTTTCGGAAAAGTCAGCGGTGATCATCAGGTCCTCCTCAGGCACTCCGGTGAAACTGAGTTGAACCGACCGCTCGATCAGAGCTGTGAGAGGGGGAAAATTGTTGTTCAAACATCTTATCTATGGTCATATCAATTTTCTAAGGTTACAGCGGCAATGATTAGTGTTATATTGTACTCCTCCCATGTGGCTTTTGCGTTTCCCTTACCAACATGGTTACATTTTGATTCTTGGCGTAAACCTACACTCTGGCTGTATGTATGCTGCCGTCATGTCACACTGCTCGATATTCGGGGCGGCCATCCTGCAGACTTCGGGAGGCTCCAGGATGTTTTCTGGCTCCAAATAGTAGCAGACTGTGCTGGCTGAACACAGGAAGCCGTTCACTTTGACATCCATTTCTCCCGTCTCCACTTTGAGGGACTGGAGGGCCTCTGTCCCCACTTTCGTCATCCGAGGGAGCAATATATCTGGAGGAAGATGGGAAGGAATGTGTCTTATGATGCTTGTGTTAGCCATGTCTCAATCATGATAGTAAGGAGCGCATTGACAAACAAAGATCAAGTAATGTTGAAAACAATAATAATCATATTGACAGTATGAATAACAACTCATGCTTGTGTTTAAGACTTTAGCATTACAGGTTTTGTGGTACAGAGGTGAACAAGTTACATTGCAAAACCCAAGATAGAAATGCACGTGCCATTTGTACCAAGAAATTATACATTATTCTTTTACATGAGATGAATATTTTTTTATGGGATAGAAGCTTCATTTAGGAAGATTTCATATTTTTGCAGCTGAAGCAATTAATAATGTGAAAAGTATTGATTTCCCTGAACATCCTTCACCTTTTCCTCATGATACGTGTTGGTGGTGGCACTGCACGGCGCACAAAGCGAGCGAAAGACCGGCATAAAAAAAAAAAAAAAAAAAAAAAACTAAAGCAGAGGAAGAGCAGAGGCCTTACCTGAGAGGGTCACGTGCGCGCGGCCGGCCTCCAGCAGGGCCCCGTCGTCGTCGTATCCCACGACCAAGAAGTTCCAGTCTCCTGCGCCGCGCGAGGAAGCAGCCACGGAGTAGCCGGACTTCGAGGGCGTCGCCGCGAGGCTTTCGCAGTCGGCGTCCGTGGCGACGTCGCTACTGAAGGTCACGAGGTCGGCGCGGGTCACGTGCTTGTCGCTCGCCACCTCGACGTCCATCCTGGCGTCGGCGTCGCGCGAGGTCAGGCGCTCGACCCGGGACGCCGGGGGAGGCGGGCCTGCGGGAGCGGGGTTTGAGTCGCATGCGACTTGCGCCTTTATGTGTTTTACAAAGCAAAAAGTAACAGTAAAAAGTAAAAGGCGACGATCAAAAATAGGAGCAGAAGCGCTCGAGAATTAATAACTAGCACGGGAACCGAAGCATCATCTAAAGTCAATGTGTCGCTATTTACAAAGACTAAGCAGCAGTGATAAACTAATACCTGATGTAGCCTCATAGATGGCGTTGGACCCCTTCCTGACGGTCACCGCGGGGGGCGCGTCCACCCCAGCGAACCAGACGCGACACGGTGACCCAGCTTGGCACTCCAGAGTGGCCGCGGGAGGGGGCGAGGGGCCGGCCAGCGTGACCTCGTACGCGCCCCCCCGATCGAGGGTCGACCGCCACCTGCAGGACGTCCTGGAAGAGCGAGAGCGCGGCCACGCCGTGCACTGCGGGCGCGAGGAGGCGCTCGTTAGCTGGCCCTTGAGTCAAGGACGGGAAGGACACGAAGGACCTCTCCTCTTTGCGAGAAAGAAGGCCTTGTGTCTCCGCCTTTTAAACACATATATTACTTAATTATTTATCTATCATTATTACTAGTTTTCTTTTCTTCTTGTGGTTTATGACAACGGTGGATATATCTGTAAATGACGGTCAGCCTACCTCGAGGACAGTATTAAGGAACAAACTCACAAGCCAAATTACCATCAAACTCTTATCATTCAAATGTATGATAAAACTGTAGCTTCACTTCGTGCAGATTCCTGCCACTAATAAAGTGTTTTAAATTCTATTTCAGTTCACTTATTTTTGGAAAAAGTAAGGCTAACGGTAATAACCATTATGATACTAGTACTTATGATAATAATAAGGAAAGTAATGATAACAAATGAGAGTGAAAGCCTTAACAGCACCACAAGCACCTCAAAGGGCACGGCGAGCGGACGCCGTGGACACGTCAACCTCTCGTTCGTTCTCTCACGCCGACGGAGCAGTGACACGGGGTCCTTCTGCAACGTCTCGCCATGCGCCGTGCAGAGCTTCAGACGAACTAGGCCACAGCGGGATAGGCGCGCACCTCCTCACGGGCTCGTCGGCACGGTGCTTCGGCACGGGCGCCAGACGCGCCCTCTCGCGCTCTCCAGGGATGTCCTGGCATGCTTGGGCGAGGGTCACAGTGCTGAAGTCTCGGTGCGCCGCGCGGGGCGGCTGCGAGACCACAGTTTACTAGGTCTCAGGTCGGCCCCCACGGCGCTTCCCGCCGTGGTCGGCCGGGGCTGCCCGCTGAGGCACTGGCGCGGCTCTGGGGCACACCGTGGGTAGCGTCGAACGCCTGCCTCGTCAGGTCTGCCCGGGATGGCGTGCTGCGGGCGAAGGGCGGTCCTCGCCCCGGCGGGAGGCGCGCGGGGCGTGAAAAAAATAGGGGCAGGTAGTCTGGAGCATTTGTCGTTTTTCTTCTCTTATTTTGGGTGTACATAGTTTCCGGACGTGGTTCAAGGTGAAGTAGATTCCAACTACTACATTCTAATGCGCAGAATTATTATACAACAATGGTGAGTAGATTACAGGTCATAGCATGTTAGATCATCCATATGAACTGGCGTTAGGTTTTTCGGAGCTCAAAGCACAGAACGTCTGAGATGAACTCCTTTCGTATAGAACGCGTGACAATTAATCCGTAGCCCCTATTAACAGAATTATCTAATCTGTCGGGTCAGATGCCTGAGGGCAGTATTAAAGTTTTATATTGTTTCGCACAGAGATAGTGAGAATCGCCCTTCGTGATAAGAAGTAGACGCTCAGTAGGAATAGCGCGGCAGTGACGCAGATGTGATATAACAACACAAGAAGCCACTCGTACGGACCGTGTCATAACGCCACGCGTACACAAGAGAAAACCAGGTTAAGAATAGCACGGGAGAGCTTGCCGAGGCGGCGCCAATTACCTCACCCGTGCTGACGCGACCAACGCGGCACCTTAGCCCAGACGCCGCCAGCGCACGGGCCTTGCCTTCCCAGCCTCCGAGGCCACGCGTCGCCTGTCGCGTGCGCGCGCCGCTGCGAGCCACGAGCGCCCTCCCTCCCAGCCCCCCTGCTGCCAGGCCACCGCGCGCCGTATCCTCCCCAGCCCGCTGCGAGGCCACGGCGCCTTCCCTCCCAACCCGGGCTGTCGGCGAGCGCCACGGCGGCGCCCTCACCTTCCCAGCCCCCGGCTGCCGATGGCACAACGGCGCACAATTCCTGCGCCGCCGTGCGCGAGGCCACGAAGCCGTCCCCGTCCCTCCCAACCACACAAAAAAAAAAGAGAACTAACATACAAAAAAAACAAACCACTAAGAACTACAACAAAATATCATGAACAAAAATAATAAAAAATATCACAACACGCCCGCGTGCCGAGAAGCCACGGCAGTTCCCTCGCAAGCCCGCTGCGTAGCACGGCGCCTTACCCTCACCAACCCGCTGCCGAGGCCACGGCAGCCTCTCCAGCCCCGCTGCGAGGGCCACGAGCGCCTTCCCTCCCAGGCTCCAGAGGCCAACGGCAGCCTTCTCCCTAGCCCTCGCTCGTGGAGTCAACAGGACCGCGGACCGGCCGGATGCGTGAGCAGCCGCCACTACACCTGGCCCTTCCGAAACCAATACCCAACGAAACGAACACTTCCCTACCCATAGCCCACGCTGCCGAGGAACAACAACGGTCGCACCTCCCTCCAATCGGCACCCGCTGAACGAAAGACCACGGGCGCCTCCCCTCCCAGCCCCGCTGCCGAGGCCACGTAGCGTCTCATTACCCTACACAGCCCCGACATTGTCCAAGAACGAGCCAACGGCGACCATATACACTAGCTCCCAAAGCCCACAGCTGCCGGCACGGCGCACCGTCCACTCCCAGCCTCCCGCTGCATCTAGTAAATAGCCACACCTGACGACTACACCATCACATGTGCATCCCGTGCCAACGTAGGGCCACGAAGCAGCCTTCCCACTCCCAGCTCTCTCGTGTCTCCGAGGCACACGGCGCCTCTCCCAGGCCGCCGCTGCCGAGACATCTGATCTGCTCTCACACCAGCCAGCTTCCCCGCTGCTCGAGGCCTTACGCGCGCCATATCCTCGGTCCCTAGACCCCGCTGGCGAGGCCAGCGGCCACTCTACCCTCCCAGCCCCGCTGTATCACGAGACGCACGAACGGCGCCTCGCTTCTCACTCGATACCGCGTGCTGCTCGAGACACCACGGTCGCATCCTCTATCCTCACTCAGTCCCTGCCTGCCCGAGGCACACGGCTGATCCTCCCTCCTCGGACCCGGCTGCGAGGCTCATCGGCGACGCCTCCCTACACTGCAGCCCCGACCATATGGCCCGACAGTCAACGAGAAGACTGCCTCTCCTTCACACTAGCCCCGTCTGACACTAGTGCATGAAACAGGAAGACCAGCAGGCGGCCGAAGCACGGCAGCGCCCTCCACTCACTCTGCACATCCGCACACACAGAGTGAGACCTCGGTCGCAGAATGTGAATCTCGGATGGAAGGGTCGTCAAGTCGAACTCCGCCCTAGGTGATCCGCGGCGCGCAGACAGACGCCGAGGTCTCTATCTATAAGGCCAGAAAACATGACCTCCCCGATCGGCATATGCCCGCCAGATATCGACAGTACCATACGGGGTCGCTCTGCGCCGGCGAAGCTCAGCTAAGCAATAGCGAGCAAGAGCCCATGACGTAGTAACGCCAAGAAACCAATATTAACTGTAGCCCAACGTTGGAGGAGGTCAAGGCGAAACGCCTATACACGCCACAAGATGTAAGTCACATCTATATCACAAGCATCGCTGTGCAGCCCTCTCTCAGCGGGAGAAATGATTATGAACCTGAGACTAAAGCCATCTGTGTGTAACCACCATCAGCGCGACGGGAATTTGCTGCCTCTGCTCCCGTACTCTCCGGCAAATCCCTATCGCCACCCTGGACCGGTCTGTGAGGGACGAAGTGGAACGAGGTCATCTGGGAAATACGTACTTAGCTCAGCAGTGATACTAGTAATTTTCGCTCGTGGAGTGATTATTCGCTTACTTGTGCGTACTTGCTTTTTTCAGGGTAGGAGACCTCTGCCAGATTTTGTTCCTTGCAGTAAACTTGTATATTTTGCTAGCCGCTATTCCGCTGGAAGAGCATGTCTTCGCCGCTCTCTACAAATGACGCGACGTGAACAAGCTGGGGATAAAATGCAATTCGCCTATACGCACGCTCTCGAAACTCCTTCCAATAAGGAGACAGCGTGTCCTCAGCGCCTCGCTCATGCTCCTGCGATCACAGAGAGTGCTACAAATCCCCGTCAACACCGACACTCTTCAATAGCTATTTATAAGACACTGAATTTCGATATCTTTAAGGTTAATCGCCTCACGCGAATACGTCAGGACTACTCGCCGTGACAGATTCATCAATGGCAGGTATCGTACTCTTCTCAAGAAAGAGTGACATGTAGGAATTAATGGCTGAAAGACCAAACGCAGTATTGGAAGTTATATAACCATCTATCTATATGTAGTCGATAGCTGCAGATAATCGTCTGCCTCTATTGCTCAATAGAGTGTATCAAGGAAAACCTCACACATCCTGTGTTGATCGTAGCTTACCGCTCCGGAGACTCGCTCTCTTGGTCTCTGTGGACATCTCGTGCGTAAGTGTGAGAAGGTGACTCCTATTTTTGTGCATTATGAGGTTCGTTATTTGATAATGGACCTTATTACTCCGTGTTATTGTCTGTGGCTCGAGATGATAGTCAATTCCGATATATAATACTGGCTGAGATAAATACAAGTTAATGATATCATGATCCTCAAATTAACATTAATCATGTACACAACCCACAATATACAAATACTACACAACCTTAACTATCATCATTGCTTTGACATAAATCGGCGCACATACTGGATACTTAGTTCTCTCGTTCTTCGAGCCGTCATCGACTATAGATTCTTCATGTTGCATTGTAAACGATTCGTGTCAATGAATATTCGAAAGATCCTGAAGGAAATATGTGGAAGCTAGACGAATTTGATTAAATTTAGTGATAACAACAAAGACTCAAGGTGTATATCTACTTTCTGTGCTCAAGCTGAATGTATGCCCCATGAAATGACATATGGTGCTAAAATTATGTGCCTGGCTATGCTCTTATTTTTTACTTACCATCACCGCATGCGTGGAGTGGAGGAAATATGTGGTATGCTCATGGGAGGAAGATTATACAGCAAGTGAGTGCAGAGCAACAGTAGGTTTGCGCAATTTCCACGACTAATAAATAAATGTTTCCTAACGTCTAGGGCGACATTTTTCTTGAAAGTTGATGGAATGTTGACGGGAGCCTGTGTCTGGGAAAAATTAGTAGAAATAATTCGCGTGCAGACGTTAAAGGTAACTTCTGCATGTTTCTTCTTTGAGCTCTTTATATAGTCAATTTGATGGACCGCAGATTTTTGTTCACTACTCTGATGATTCGCGCTTATTTTATATTTCGCCATCCTCAATTTAATATACGTAGTGAAGCTTATATTTTAGCGGCATTCTATTAAAGAAAACACAAAGATTTTCCCACAGAACAGCTTATAAGTAATGTGTGATTTATGCTAGTATAAATGAATACAAGTCATGCGGTTAATGGTCCAAATATAACTAACATTTAGAGGAAGATTAAACTTCTCATTTTATTATAAGTGTGAGTTATTTGAAAATAAATAGGCTATAGCCACAATGAAATTAAAAAAACGGAGAAAGTTTGTAATGCCATCCAGTAACGGTAATTCCCTATTGTTCTGCCAGTGGTCCAACGTCACACCCTATGGTAACCCCACAACCACTGAATTTGCGAAAGATGGAAAAAAACTCACCCGAAACGGATGAGACCTTCAGAGCGTCTCCAGACAGGCAGACTATTTCCTCGGGCTTGACTCGAGCAATTCTCAACAGTGACACACCGGAAGACCGGGGACTTAGATCACTCCGGTTGAAAGTCAAAAGGTTGAGGAGGCAGGAGTGGGTCTCTAGAGGACACAGCTTTTTCCTCCGACTTATCTTAGAAGTATTACCGGTTAACTCGGTGTGGGAAATGTAGGACTTCCGAAACACCATTTCTGGCGCCGACCATTAGGCAGAGCAATCCACACGACACGAAACTTGTCTCAAACCAACATACTTTCCATACGCTTAACGGATTTTAGGTTATGTTAGTTTTCTTGTGTGAACAAGCTTCGTGGCATGATTCTCCCGTATTAAAAACACACGTGTTAAGACACCTTCGTTGTTTTCCGTCTGGACTTGCTATCCCGGTTGTGGTCATGTCCGACGCCTCGTCAGTTAGTGTTATGTTTATTGCATGTGTGAACGTTGGAAGAAAGACAAGACACCACATAGAGATTACGTTACTGGATGCATGTACACTATGCTATTCCACAAAGATCAGTTATATTGGACATTAAGCACAATTATAAGAAAAATACAGCGTGGGAATTGGTCTTAAGAAAAATATACACTCGTTTAGAGATGGAAAAAAGGAATATAGAGTGTGACAATTGGTGATACAAAGAGCTACAAGTACTAAGCACACTTACTTTCCAGAACAGGCTGCATCCTCACTGAGGCCGAAAACATATTTATTGTCACCTTGTGCTCTCACACTTGCTGTATAATCTTCATTCAAATTCAGCGTGAAAAAGTAAGCCAGGCACATTTTGCTGTCTTCAGGCTCTTCACCTCCACAGATCACTGAAGTCTTGTTGAATTTGACTTCAATTTCAGGACCGATTTCGACGTCGTATTCCTGATTTTGCGAAGCTCGCCAACGGACTTCGATGGCGTCCGATGTCAGCTGTTGAATTCGAGTCTGGAAATCTGTAATATTTGTGGTTTTGGGGCAGTGATAATTTTTAGATTGTAGAATCATCTTAAACTGCATTCAACCGTTTATATACGAATTTATGTTCTCAGCCAAAATTAAAGAAAATAAGGTCCCTTTACAAAAGAAACTATAGAAAAATAATCACCTTCAAATTCCACAACGGTCGAGTCTTTCACAGTTGATTCGGAATCTAACGCCATCAGCAAAATCTTAAATTCCGTACTTTTGGCTCAACCTTAAATCTGCAGGTCTTTGGAGACCGGCCTGTGATCTCACAGGTTAGCGGATTCGGTGTCAGATCCTCGAGTTGTGTAGAGTTTCGCTTCCATTGTGAGCGACGTTTCGGAGAATTCAGCGGTGATCATCAGGTCCTCCTCAGGCACTCCGGTGAAACTGAGTTGAACCGACGCTCGATCAGAGCTGTGAGAGGGGGAAAATTGTTGTTCAAACATCTTATCTATGGTCATATCAATTTTCTAAGGTTACAGCGGCAATGCTTAGTATTAGATTGTACTCCTCCCATGTGGCTTTTGCGTTTCCCTTACCAACGTGGCTACATTTTGGTTCTTGGCGTAAACCTACACTCTGGCTGTATGTATGCTGCCGTCATGTCACACTGCTCGATATTCGGGGCGGCCATCCTGCAGACTTCGGGAGGCTCCAGGATGTTTTCTGGCTCCAAATAGTAGCAGACTGTGCTGGCTGGACACAGGAAGCCGTTCACTTTGACATCCATTTCTCCCGTCTCCACTTTGAGGGACTGGAGGGCCTCTGTCCCCACTTTCGTCATCCGAGGGAGCAATATATCTGGAGGAAGATGGGAAGGAATGTGTCTTATGATGCTTGTGTTAGCCATGTCTCAATCATGATAGTAAGGAGCGCACTGACAAACAAAGATCAAGTAATGTTGAAACAATAATAATCATATCATTTTCAAAGCAATCTTGATCATTAACAATGCGTTCATCTTTATAGTCGTCTTATCCCGCTCACCATCACCATCTATGGCAAGAGAATCATCTGTGTAAAAAAAATCACATCTTTCCCGAAGGCCAGTATGAATAACAACACATGCTTGTGTTTAAGACTTTAGCATTACAGGTTTTGTGATCCAGAGGTGAACAAATTACATCTCAAAACCCAAGATAGAGGTGCGCGTGCCAATCGTACCAAAAAATGATACATTATTCCTTTACCATAATTAATTTAATTTGTTTAATCTTTGATTGTTGTACAGAATGGATGAATGGCTATTTATAACATCCTATAGAGCAAAGAGCCACACATGAGTATTTTTTTTTATGAGATGGAAGCTTCATATTGGAAACTGTTATAGACTAATGGATTTTTTGCCGCTAAAGCCATTGATTATGTGATTAGTATTGATTTCCATTAAAATACCTCACCTTTTCCTCATAGCATGCGTTAGTGGTGGCATTGCAGACGTCAAACAAGTGAAAGAGTGCCACGTAAAACCACAGTTCCTAAACCAGAGGAAGAGCAGAGGCCCTTACCTAAGAGGGTCACGTGCGCGCGGCCGGCCTCCAGCAGGGCCCCGTCGTCGTCGTATCCCACGACCAAGAGTTCCAGTCTCCTGCGCCGCGCGAGGAAACAGCCACGGAGTAGCCGGACCCCGAGGACGTCGCTTCGAGGCTTTCGCAGTCGGCGTCCGTGGCGACGTCGCTACTGAAGGTCACGAGGTCGGCGCGGGTCACGTGTTGTCGCTCGCCACCTCGACGTCCATCTTGGCGCCACGTGAAGTGAGGCGCTGGACCCGGGACGCCGGGGGAGGCGGGTCTGCGGGAGTGGGGTTTGAGTCGCTGGTTTTTGGACGGCATGTGACATGCACTTGCACCTTCATGGCTTATACAACGGCAAGGGTAAAGGCTCTAAGGGCGACGATCAAAAATAGGACCAGCAGCGCTCGAGAATGACTAAATAGCACGGAAACTGAAGCGTCATCTAAGGTCAATAAGAGTCGCTTATTACAGAAACTAAGCAGTTTGAGTAATGAGCTGTAATACCTGTGGATATATCCTCATAGATGGCGTTGGATCCCTTCCTGACGCTCACCGCGGGGGGCGCGTCCACCCCAGCGAACCAGACGCGACACGGTGATCCAAGTTGGCACTCCTGAGCGGCCGCGGGAGGGGGCGAGGGGCCGGCCAGCGTGACCTCGTATGCGCCCCCCGATCGAGGGTCGACCGCCACCTGCAGGACATCCTGGGAGAGCGAGAGCGTGGCCACGCCGTGCACTGCGGGCGTGAGGAGGCGCTCGTTAGCTGTTCCTTGAGTCCGGGACGCGAAGGACACGAAGGACCTCTCCTCTTCGCGAGAAAGAAGGCCTTGTGTCTCTCCGCATTCCGCCTTTTGACACAGACATCTGATGTTTGATCCTTTGTTTATCTGTTATGACTACTAGATTCTTTTTCTTATTACGGTCTCCTAAACCGGTTTTAGCGTATTTTTCCTGTTGCTGATGACATAAGGATACTAGCAAATAAGATGGAAAAGCCTTAACAGCACCACAAGCACCTTCAAAGGGCACGGCGAGCGACGCCGTGACGTAGCCTTGGTCGTCCAGAACGACGAGCGTCACGTCGAAGCCGTCCAGGTCGTCGGCGACGGCCACAGGGTGCGCGCACGTCCCGTCGCCCAGGTCGTCGCAGCCGAAGCCGTCGGGAGGCAGGATGGAGTCGTCGCTGGAGACCACGACCTCAGTCCGCGCTCCGTCGGGCCGGGGCTGCTGCACTCGTAGCTCCTGCCGGTTGCGGAGCTCCAGGGCCGGGACCTCGGTCGGGTCTGGGGGGGGGGGGGGGCGTGAATACGAGGGACAGGAGTCTGGCAGAACGTTGGAAGGAAATCAAGACAACTTGCTCAATTACCATAGGCAAGAGTATAGTTCATACTGTGTAACAATTTATAAAAAGAATGAGATTTTCATATCTCATTGCATTAGCCAGTTTTATATGGAAAAGGTTGTATGGAATTTTTTTCTATTTCTGGGCAGTAAAGACACTTCTTTAAACCTAGACAAATTTCTTTTGTTGTAATAATAAACATTATAGATTTTATTTCGTTTTCCGCAGGACGAGAACGCCACCTTGGAATAAAGGAATGTAAAGTATGCTGCAGGGATGGAGAGAAATGCGAATACAACACAGACATGTACGGACGGGTCATCGCCACGCTAAACAGAAAAACAGGAAGAAAACGGGAGAGCTGCCGAGGCCACGGCGCCCTCCCTCCCAGCCCCCTGCCGAGGCCACGGCGCCCTCCCTCCCAGCCCGATGCCCAGCAACAGGACCGCGAGCGGCGCCGAGCGGAGAGCCCGCCACTCACTCTGCGCTTCCGACACCACGGCGTCGCAGAATCTGATCTCGGGAAGGTCTCGCAGAGGGGGGACGGTGGGTCGCTCTGGCCGACGTAGTAGCAAGGGCCAGAGCCTCCCACGCAGGGAGGCTTCCCAGGGACTTCCACCTGGCCTCGCGCCCCTGGGTCCACCCTCAGTGACGGGGCGCTGGCGTCCCCAACCTTCGCCACCCTGGAACCCAGGTCTGTGAGGGAAGGGAAAGATTCGGGATAGATGCATAGGAATGTAATTTTCGTTTATTTATTTCCACTTTGGTCTTCTTTTTTCAGGTGACCCATTTGATTCCTTGCAGTAAACTTATTTTTACAGCAGCTTTAAGAGCAGTTTGCGTTTACATGACCACGTGAACAAGCCGGAAATTTCCTAGGACTCTTCCAAAGGGCATTTCCTCACCTGTCAATTCCTGCGCCACGGAGCCAAATCCCACAGTAGCCCCGCCTTTCATAGCATTTATAATGACACCCCGAATCTTGGAAATTTCCCTTGAACTCAATCTCTGTGGCATCTCCATCGATGATTTTATAAAGGAGATGAGCTTCCTGTCCCGTGCCTGATGCCAGAATTAAAGAAAGCTGAAAGTCGTCTGCATCTTTTGCTTCGTGAGGATCCAAGAAAACCCTCATGTTTTGTTGTCTTCCGCTCGGGTCGTCTTCCCTGGACACCTTCTGGAGCTCCTTGATGGTGAGAGGAACTACTACACGTGGCTTCATTTCTGAAAAATAAAATACTGTTCATACATACATATACCTATACACACTTTTTTCATATATGGCTGGAATAAAGGAAAGGGATCTTCTTATCGACACCGTATCATTAGATCCATTTCTTGAAGGTTGTTACAACCCCAATGACAAGAAAAAGGAAGGCAGAGCTTTGTTAAAGCGATAATGTATCTATCTGCTCACTCATTATTGCTCATTATTGTTATTGTCATTATTACCACCATGGATGACGGAGGTTGGTCGGGAGGGGCAGTGTTGCCATTTCCGCTAACTCTAGCGAATTTGAATGTAATTTGACGGGGGAAATTAAGAAATTCGCAAGAGTAACGCGATTTTTTTCTTGTTAAATCAATTGGGAGTTTTAGGGGCTATAATGCAGAATTTTAGGTAAGCTTAGTGGATTCTTAAAAAAAAAAAAAAAAAATAGAAACAACATGGTAGAATAGAGAGTTAAACTTGAATTAAATGTATTATTTGAAAATATATAGCAAATGAAAAACGGAATAAGTGAAGTGTATCGTACGTGGTACGTAAGACAACAACAATTAGCGAAGATGGAAACTCACCTGAAAGTAAGACAAGACAAGACCACCACATAGAGATTACGTTACTGGATGCATGTATACTATGCTATTCCACAAAGACCAGTTATATTGGATATTTTTTTCATAGTATCCAAATCAAACATTAAGCACAATAATGAGAAAAATACAGCATGGGAATTGGTCTTAATATACTCTCGTTTAGAGATGGAAAAAAAGGAATATAGAGTAAGTGACAATTGATGATACAAAAAGCTACAAGGTACTAAGCGCACTTACTTTCCAGAACAGTCTGCATCCTCACTGAGGCCGAAACATATTTATTGTCACCTTGTGCCCTCACACTTGCCGTATAATCTTCGTTCAAATTCAGCCCGATAAAGTAAGCCAGGCACATTTTACTGTCTTCAGGGTTTTCACCTCCACAGATCACAGAAGTGTTGCTGAATTTGCCTTCAATTTCAGGAGCGATTTCGACGTCGTATTTCTGGTTGTGCGAAGCTCGCCAACGGACTTCGATGGCGTCCGATGTCAGCTGTTGAATTCGAGTCTGGAAATCTGGAAGGTATATGTTGTTTTTTTTTCTTTTGTATGTGTTTTTGACCTGATACTACCTCTAAGCGATTGTATATGAATTTATGTTAACGTCCAAAATGAAAGAAAATATGGTCACTTTACATAAATTGAAGAAAAATAATCACCTTCAAATTCCACAACAGTCGATTCATCCACAGTTGATGCAGAATCTAACGCCATCAGCAAAATCTTAAATTCCGTCACTTTTGGCTCAACCTTAAATGTGCAGGTCTTTGGAGACCGGCCTGTGATCTCACAGGTTAGCGGATTCGGTGTCAGATCCTCCGAGCTTGTGTAGAGTTTCGCTTCCATTGTGAGCGACGTTTCGGAGAAGTCAGCGGTGATCATCAGGTCCTCCTCAGGCACTCCGGTGAAACTGAGTTGAACCGACCGCTCGATCAGAGCTGTGAGAGGGGGAAAATTGTTGTTCAAACATCTTATCTATGGTCATATCAATTTTCTAAGGTTACAGCGGCAATGCTTAGTGTTATATTGTACTCCTCCCATGTGGCTTTTGCGTTTCCCTTACCAACATGGTTACATTTTGGTTCTTGGCGTAAACCTACACTCTGGCTGTATGTATGCTGCCGTCATGTCACACTGCTCGATATTCGGGGCGGCCATCCTGCAGACTTCGGGAGGCTCCAGGATGTTTTCTGGCTCCAAATCGTAGCAGACTTTGCTGGCTGGACACAGGAAGCCGTTCACTTTGACATCCATTTCTCCCGTCTCCACTTTGAGGGACTGGAGGGCCTCTGTCCCCACTTTCGTCATCCGAGGGAGCAATATATCTGGAAGAAGATGGGAAGGAATGTGTCTTATGATGCTTGTGTTAGCCATGTCTCAATCATGATAGTAAGGAGCGCATTGACAAACAAAGATCAAGTAATGTTGAAAACAATAATAATCATATCATTTTCAAAGCAATCTTGATCATTAACAATGCGTTCATCTTTATAGTCGTCTTATCCCGCTCACCATCACCATCTATGGCAAGAGAATCATCTGTGTAAAAAAATCACGTCTTTCCCGAAGGCCAGTATGAATAACAACACATGCTTGTGTTTAAGACTTTAGCATTACAGGTTTTGTGATCCAGAGGTGAACAAATTACATCTCAAAACCCAAGATAGAGGTGCGCGTGCCAATCGTACCAAAAAATGATACATTATTCCTTTACCATAATTAATTTAATTTGTTTAATCTTTGATTGTTGTACAGAATGGATGAATGGCTATTTCTAACATCCTATGATGCAAAGAGCCGCACATGAGTATTTTTTTTTTATGAGATGGAAGCTTCATATAGGAAACTGATAAAGACTAATGGATTTTTTGCCGCTAAAGCCATTGATTATGTGATTAGTATTGATTTCCATTAAAATACCTCACCTTTTCCTCATAGCATGCGTTAGTGGTGGCACTGCAGACGGCAAACGAGCGAAAGAGTGCCACGTAAAACCACAGTTCCTAAACCAGAGGAAGAGCAGAGGCCCTTACCTGAGAGGGTCACGTGCGCGCGGCCGGCCTCCAGCAGGGCCCCGTCGTCGTCGTATCCCACGACCAAGAAGTTCCAGTCTCCTGCGCCGCGCGAGGAAGCAGCCACGGAGTAGCCGGACCCGAGGACCTCGCTTCGAGGCTTTCGCAGTCGGCGTCCGTGGCGACGTCGCTACTGAAGGTCACGAGGTCGGCGCGGGTCACGTGTTTGTCGCTCGCCACCTCGACGTCCATCTTGGCGCCACGTGAAGTGAGGCGCTCGACCCGGGACGCCGGGGGAGGCGGGTCTGCGGGAGTGGGGTTTGAGTCGCTGGTTTTGGACGGCATGTGACACGCTCCTTCGACGTGCACTTGCACCTTCATGGCTTATACAACGGCAAGGGTAAAGGCTCTAAGGGCGACGATCAAAAATAGGACCAGCAGCGCTCGAGAATGACTAAATAGCACGGAAACCGAAGCGTCATCTAAGGTCAATAAGAGTCGCTTTTTACAGAAACTAAGCAGTTTGAGTAATGAGCTGTAATACCTGTGGATATATACTCATAGATGGCGTTGGATCCCTTCCTGACGCTCACCGCGGGGGGCGCGTCCACCCCAGCGAACCAGACACGACATGGCGACCCAAGCTGGCACTCCTGAGCGGCCGCGGGAGGGGGCGAGGGGCCGGCCAGTGTGATCTCGTACGCGCCCCCGATCGAGGGTCGACCGCCACCTGCAGGACGTCCTGGAGAGCGAGAGCGCGGCCACGCCGTGCACTGCGGGCGCGAGGCGCTCGTTAGCTGGCCCTTGAGTCAGGGACGGGAAGGACACGAAGGACCTCTCCTCATCGCGAGAAAGAAGGCCTTGTGTCTCTCCGCATTCCGCCTTTTAACGCATTTGTTTATCTGTTATGACTACTAGATTCTTTTTCTTTTTACGGTCTCCTGAACCGGTTTTAGCATATTTTTCCTGTTGCTGATGACAATAAGGATACTAACAAATAAGATGGAAAAGCCTTAACAGCACTACAAGCACCTTCAAAGGGCACGGCGAGCGACGCCGTGACGTAGCCTTCGTCGTCCAGCACGACGAGCGTCACGTCGAAGCCGTCCAGGTCGTCGGCGACGGCCACAGGGTGCGCGCACGTCCCGTCGCCTAGGTCGTCGCAGCCGAAGCCGTCGGGAGGCAGGATGGAGTCGTCGCTGGAGACCACGACCTCAGTCCACGCTCCGTCGGGCCGGGGCTGCTGCACTCGCAGCTCCTGCCGGTTGCGGAGCTCCAGGGCCGGGACCTCGGCCGGGTCTGGGGGGAGGGGGGGCGTGAATACGAGGGACAGGAGTCTGGCAGAACGTTGGAAGGAAATCAAGACAACTTGCTCAATTACCATAGGCAAGAGTATAGCTCATACTGTGTAACATTTATAAAAAGAATGAGATTTTCATATCTCATTGCATTAGCCAGTTTTATATGGAAAAGGTTGTATGGATTTTTTTTCTATTTCTGGGCAGTAAAGACACTTCTTTAAACCTAGACAAATTTCTTTGTTGTAATAATAAACATTATAATTTTATTTCGTTTTCCGCAGGACGAGAACGCCACCTTGGAATAAAGGAATGTAAAGTATGCTGCAGGGATGGGAGAGAAATGCGAATACAACACAGACATGTACGGACGGGTCATCGCCACGCTAAACAGAAAAACAGGAAGAAAACGGGAGAGCGGCCGAGGCCACGGCGCAGAGGCCACGGCGCCTTCCCTCCCAGCCCCGCTGCCGAGGCCACGGCGCCTTCCCTCCCAGCCCCGCTGCCGAGGCCACGGCGCCCTCCCTCCCAGCCCCGCTGCCGAGGCCACGGCGCCGCCAGGCCACGGCGCCTTCCCTCCCAGCCCCGCTGCCGAGGCCACGGCAGCCCCGCTGCCGAGGGCGCCTCCCTCCCAGCCCCGCGAGCCACGGCGCGCCCGCTGTCCCTCCCAGCCCCGCGCCGAGGCCTCCCTTGCCGAGGCCACGGCGCCTTCCCTCCCAGCCCCGCTGCCGAGGCCACGGCGCCTGCAGCCACGGCGCGCCCTGCGAGGCCACGGCGCCTTCCCTCCCGCTGCCGAGGCCAAGCCGCTGCCGAGGCCACGGCGCCTTCCCTCCCAGCCCCGCTGCCGAGGCCACGGCGCCCTTCCCTCCCAGCCCCGCTGCCGAGCCACGGCGCCTTCCCTCCCAGCTGCCGAGGCCACGGCGCCCTCCCTCCCAGCCCCGCTGCCGAGGCCACGGCGCTGCCGAGGCCACGGCGCCTTCCCTCCCAGCCCCGCTGCCGAGGGCGCCAGCCAGGCCACGGCGCCGCTTGCCCGCTGCCGAGGCCACGCAGGCCTTGCCGAGGCCACGGCGCCTCCCTCCAGCCCCGCTGCCGAGGCCACGGCGCCTTCCCTCCCAGCCCGCTGCGAGGCGCCTTCCCTCCCAGCCCCGCTGCGAGGCCACGGCGCCTTCCCTCCCAGCCCCGCTGCCGAGGCCACGGCGCCCTCCCTCCCAGCCCCGCTGCCGAGGCCACGGCGCCTTCCCCCGCCCCGCTGCCGAGGCCACGGCGCCTTCCCTCCCAGCCCGCTGCCGAGGCCACGGCG